TCTAAGTGGAACTGAGTTTTTGTCCATTCGAAGGCCCATCAGAGGACTGAGAGTCCAAGACAGTTCCTTGATAATTTGACTCGAGGTGACCCCGACACCAGTGAGCAGGAAATGTACACATAAGCTTTTATTATACATCAGGGTGGGTTTTTTTTTAGTGTCACACTAAAGGAGTCGGCTTCTCCATGAGTAAATAATTGTTAAAAACAACTCCACCCTTGTTAAATTAGCTCAGTTAATAACTTAATGATATGAATTTTAATTACCTGGTTTTCCTGTTTTGACTTTTGGAAAATGTCTTTTTTCTTTGCGTGTGTTGACAGATTCTGGCCTTTATTCTAATCAGAAACATTCCCGGCTACATCCGCTCTATTTATAGCTCATTCTTTTCCTGGTTTGGAAAGATCTCCTTGGAGGTACGTTGGTCTGCCAGCAGAATTTATTTAATCTCTTGAGARGCTCTGAAACACGCCTCCCTTTGTCTCCCCCAGCTGTTCATTTGCCAGTACCACATCTGGCTCGCGGCCGACACCAAGGGCATTTTGGTCCTCATCCCGGGAAACCCTTCGCTCAACATCCTGGTGAGCACCTTCATCTTCGTCTGCGTAGCGCARGAAGTTTCCCTCATCACCAACGACCTGGCCCAGGTGGTCATCCCCAAAGACAGCATGGCGCTGCTGAGGCGACTGGGGGCCGTGGCYGTCTTCAGTCTGCTTGTGTTGCTGTGGAGCAAGGGGAACCAGCCTGGCACTTGAAAGACACCTTGTGATGGAGGATGGGGGGGTTAGAATCTAAAATGCCTGTTTTTGGCCTTCGAATGGACAAAAACTCTGGTGGTGGTGAAGAAAATCTGTAGWTGTTGGGTCTTTTACTTTTTGACTGCTGCAACCTACATAAACTGAAAAAAAAAAAAACCTGAAACAAGAGGTTGATCTGTTCAAAACAGGACAAGATAAAACCACTGAAATGTTTACATTATCTGGGTGTACAGTTAGACGTCTCTAAAGAGTTTCTCTCATTTCAGGACATCACGTTTGCAGTGAGTTTTCAAGCATCACTAKTTTTTAGCCCAACAGCCCTTCTGCAGTAGCCGTTGTTCCTGGCGTCGCTCCTCTGTGACCGGGATCTCCGTCCACATAACCTTAGCAGCTGAACGGCTATAACTAGCACCTTTAGCTCTTTACAACAAACATTAAATCGTACTGCTTTGTATCACTATTAACATACAGTATATTCAAGCTGTTAGYTATTTAGTTATGCAACATTTGGCTGAGAAAAAAAAAATCATAGKCTAACGTAATTWAAAGTGCAATGGATAAAATGTTGAACTTTCAACCCTCCTTTTTTTGAGTAATTTTACACCCACCTCACAGAAAGGCTCTGTGTTTACCTGCTGTTGCTCTGAAAAGGCACGACATGTATAGTATTTAATGATTTAAATTAATATTATATTTTATACAGTTCTTGGCTTTGTTTTGTACTTTGCGTCCGTAACTGCTGTGAGTGACGAAGTATCGCATAGTTTGTTTTTGTACCCATCCCAGCGTCTCCTAGATGAGGTTGAGCCTTTTGAWCTTTGAGCCGTCTCTCTCGTTAGCAGCACACTTCGTTGTACTTATGTAAATATATATAAATATATATATTTGTATGATAGAATGGAAAATTTATTTTGTACAGCAATGTTTCTGTTACGTCCTTTACATTTCAGTTCAAACATGCCTCTTATTTTACTCCACGTTGCACATAATATAGGAGTAACAGCTAAATATCCTTCCTCCTGCCTGTGAWATTTGACTCTGTGGGTACGAGAGGTGGTTCTGTTCATGAGCGCCTTTCTTATTTTCCCGCCCTCAGATGCTTATAGGTACAGCGCGTCTTCGTCGGAGGTGGCTGAGCTGAATCTCTCCATGTTTAGGTGCTTTGATTAGCACCACYTCAGAGTTTCAAACTTGCACTGAAGGACCTGAGAGGATATATTGTTGTAAAATAAAGGAGATTTTGTTTTTTTAGATGAGCGGACAATGTAACTTACTAGTCAAGACATTCAAGAGAGAGCACTTTTATTTTGACGCCTGCATTTTTAATTTCCTTTTTCATCTCTAAGGTGGAATACAGTGTTTAACACAACTTTGTTTGGCACATTTTTATTGTGTAAACCAGATTTGTCATGGTAGTTTTTGCGGATACAAAACAATAAAAATATATATTAAAACTGTGTTGCTGATGACCCTACCATTTGGGTAGTAAAACATTGTGGTGTAAATCATTTATTTAAAAATTACCACTCTTTTTTGTTGTTTTTCTGTTACAGTGACATTTTGTTTGCAGACGCCAGTCAGAACTTCACTGTATAGATGTACTTCCATGTTACTGTTTTACCTTAGATGTATAAAGTTTACTGTCTTGTTTTCTCATCCATTTCTGATCAACAACTAAACAGTAAATTGGGCAGTTTTCCAGGCCTTATTTGATCTATTTGGATGTGTAAAAGCAACATATACCCACGTTCTGGGTCTCTTGTAATATTTTACATGTATTTTTTGTGACGTCTGTGGATCTGTATTCATATTTATAAAAGCCTTTATTATGTTGTACATGGTTAAAGATACTTCCAAAGAATGATTTTGGCTTTTTGTTATTTATTTCCAAGAAACTGATTGTTATTGTTATTAAAAAAGACAGTTAAATAGTTTTTAAAAGATTTTATTTCTCATATGGCACATTACATAAAACATGACACTCTCTTTCTCTTTAGGTCCTTTGTGCAAAGCAAGTAAAAATAGGCTTTTTTCTTTTTTTAAACATACACAAATATTTAAAAAGTATAATAATCAGCTACACTCTTGTTCTCTCGTACTCTCACTAATAAAGGTTTAAGTGCATGAATGATAAAACCTTACTGGTGAGACATGCAGATTGGCACAAATGTTAGAAAACACAGATGTTGGAAAGTGGTGCCTGATGCTTCTGGTCATAAATTGAGAGCTTCAGCCACCTTCCTTTCCTCAGGAATACCATTTACCTGCAGTAAATGTGGGGAAAAGACAAAATAAATGGCTACAACTTCATTTTAATGCTCTGTGTAAAAAAAAGATTATATATGACAAAAGACTTATTTTAATCAACACGAACAAACTGCTGCACCTACCTCCAGCCGTCGAAATGTCGACATAACATAATTATCTCCTTTGTTAGCGTTGAACAGAAAAAGCAGTCTGTTAGCGCATCATGCAGCTAATTACTTTGGCCATGAGGGGGCGATCACACACAGATTTAACATTTTAAAGCTAAAGCAAAATAAGAGCAGTCTGAATTCTTTCAAAGCAAATCTTTTCAAATTATCAACTCCTAAGTCTGGAAGTTTACATCAGCAAAACCAAGATTTTAACATGCTTTTATTTAACTAATGATATCCTATTGTGTAATTAGGCTAGCAGAATGTTGTAAACCTGGTTAATATGTCAACCTGCAGACATGCTATTCAGAGGCAAATTATAAGTAGGTTAAAAAGAAGAAAAACATGCAGCTGCATGCAGATTCTGCCATGCATGGTTTGCTGTTTTTTTACATCTACTGGCACGTAAACTCTTAAACTAAATTTAAAAAAAAGAAAGCACTAACCTGATGGCCTCTGTTGTGGTATTGTTATTTGGTTTTGCAGATTCCTGAAACAGTGAACTTATTGTAAGAACATAAACACACAAGCACTTTTGTTAAATAATTATCAGTTCTTTAGGCACTGTGATAATATTTTTAGAGTTCTTTTACAGCTGTTTTTCCTCTTTTCACTTTTTATGCACTGACTCCAAAAGAGGTTGTTTTTTTTTAATCGGCTCATCCATTCAGGATTTAGAAGTCATCAAAGGTTGAAAATTTCTCAACAAATTTTTCAAACCAAAGCAGAAAACAAGCTAGGACAGTGCATTTATCAAAGTGCCAACAGTTCTGAAGCTTATTAGAAGTCTTGCAGTATCTTGTTTTGGCTGAAAATAAATAAATTAATAAATCTTTCACTCACGCCTGTGTCTGCATAAGAGGCATGCTGGTGGTCTCGTAGTTGTCTGGGTGGATGGGCGGCACCACCTCCCCGCTGACTGGGTTGAAGACGGGCAGGGTGGAGAGAGGCCAGGAGATCTCGCGGTTCTTGGACATGCTCCGCAGCTCCTTGGTGGACTTCTGGATGGCGCTGTGATGAACCAGCTGGATGCTGGAGGGGCGGAAGAAAGGGTGGATTGGTATTGTAGCATCCCCCACTAGCAGAGGCTAACTGATCTCATGCAGGTTGTAAAACATAACGTCCTAATCTGTTGCTGTCGCTCGCTTTATCTGTTTCATTTAGGGAGTTAGTCATCCAAATGTGTTGATATAGAGAGTTATTTATCCCTGTATGTCATTGAATATATCAGCAGCAGCCCAATGAATGAATGAATGAATGAATGTCAACACACATGAGTTTATGAATGGATAGGAAACAACCATCATGACAACATAAAAGACAAAAGAGAGGGAACAGAAACAGACCCAGAACGAAATAAATAAATAAATAAATAAATAAATAAAACACAGGAGAGATAAAACACTTACGCTGGTGTTTGCATGTTTCTTTTTGCCCTAGAAGCAAAACAAAATGAATGAATTAAATACTAATATTAATATTTAAAGCAACATCTACACACAAGTGAATGAATCGTCGCGTAAAGTCAGGTTGGAGATGGAGTGGAACGGTAAAAGGGAAGGTTTTTCTCTCCCAGCCTGTAAATAATGTAAGAATGTGGATAAATGATCACAAAACAGAAAACAAAAGACTGRGACATATATAGATGGAGAACTGAATATAAATGAAACACACTACTGGATGGATGGTAATGACGAGCTGCCGTTCAACTCTAATCTGATTAGCCGGCTGCTAATGTGGCTCTCTGCTGTTGCGTCTCGTTTCATTTCCATATTCTTAAAGTGGCGCGATTGCTGGTTAATTAGGCCGTTGGGTGCGATATTAGTGCAGAGAGAAACGGGATCAGGCACACTTACACCCCTTCCCGTCTGCAGCACATAGTGTAGCCGAGGATGAAGAAGAGGACGAGCGCCACAGCCGAAGGAACGGCCAGCGTGATGAGGAAGTCGGAGAAGTAATCCCGGCTCTTCAGAGACTCAGATGGAGGGTTGTATTCCCCGAAATCAGGCAGTATCCCTGTACCCGGGTCGGGACGAGTGATGTAGACCGGGACTACTTTGTTAATGTCAACCTACAGGAAGAGGGAAAAGTCAGAATGTTTGCAGCTGATACAAAAGTCCAGAGTTGGAGAATGCTCACCAGGGAGATTTTACACCAGTCGATGTGAAACTGAGCTCTGAACTTCTTGTCGCAGCTGATGACGGGCTCCATCTCCTGACTGCAGCGCAGCTGGTTATGCGGGTTCTCCACCTCCCGCAGGCACGACGAGAAAGGAACGTCAGCACCGACCATCACATAAACACTGCGGAAGAGAGAGGGAGGGAGGGACGAGATGAAGGAGGAGGAGGACGGAGACTCATCTTGTGTGTTTATGTAACAGTCGCTGCGCCTCTGAGGTTTCTCCTTTAAGCTTTTATCCACTGAAACATTCATGTGAATCTTTGACGCGGGTCATGTGGGCCGCCCCTCCAAACTAAATAAGCCGAGAACAGACGGACAAACGTTTTCATCTTGTTCCGAGTGAACTGAAGATCCCCAAGGCCCCAATTAGATAAGATGTCAACAGAGAGAGGCCTGGAAATATACGCAGTTCGTTTGATGTAGATAGGTGAAGAAACTGCTCAGGGACACTTTCTTCAAAAGAGTAAATCCCAATATTAATGTGGCTTTTGAAACACAAAAAGAAGCTCAAACAGATGAGGAATCAAGAGGGAAAAAAGGTAATAAAATGTAAGTTTCTATCAAGGATAAAGTATCTCCTTACCCTTCTTTTAGATTGTTGATAGGCAGAGGCACCCGGCCCCCGCGGTCCAGAGCTGAGGTGATGTTGATGGCGTTGAGCCTTTCCGGCTGCCACACGTTTTTCACAGCCCCGAGGAAGTCCCCCAGCACCTCGCTGGCCAACATCTCCTCCACATTCATGTTTTTGATGTAAAACTCGGCTTGGTAAGGCAGCGGAAACTCTGCAAAAAGACGAAGTGAGGATCAAATATGTTCTGTATTTACTTAAAAGGGGTTAAAGTAAGAGTAAGAAGGGTGAGGTGTACATTTGTGCATAAAAATCTAAGGGACAAAAAGCACAGGCTGTGTCCAAGTTCAGGGGCTGCATCCTTCGAAGGCCGAATTTGAAGTTTGATTACATCAGCAATGCATCTGTCAAGGTTCCTCCAATTGCGGCCCATAAATGCATCCTCCTTTTTTATTAATAATTTAATTTTGCTCATTTCAATCTATTTTACAATCTTCATTGCMTACGGTTAGACCGTCCAAATTCACAGACACGTTCTTGCGGTTTTCCATGTCAACAGAGAACCCGGTCCACGTTGACCGGATAGGCTGGGTCCTTCAAAGGATGCAGCGAACGCAGTGCTTTGTAGACAGATTTCTGTCCACCCAGAAGGCCTTGCTGCATCTGCTGATAGCTTTTTTTGTTTGTTTGTTTGTTTGTTTGTTTGTTTTGTACTCTTTTGGTCCAGATGGCAAAAAAATAAGTGATGTCAAACAAACATCTGTAAACAGCTGCTGAGCCTTCACTCGACTCCCATCGTAATGCAAGTACAATGGTCAACAAGCCACAGGCACAGATGTGCTGTGTAACTGTTGGGATAAATGGAGTAACTGGCTACTAATAGAAAAAAAAAGTCTGCATTAATGATGCAACATAACAACTGATTTATCAATGTTTACTTAAACTAAAGACTTAATCCAGTTGTTGATCCATATTTTGGTACTGCTGAGAGTTTGCGAAGATTTGCTGCCCACTTCCCTGCTTACCTTCTGTGGCCATGATGTTTATGACCAGGTTGTGCCGTGCCGTCTCAAACGTGCGTCTGTTATAGGCAGTAATCTGCAACACAGGGGTGAAAGTTTAAGCTCAGATCAGTGCAGCTTACATGGCAGTAGTCCTGCAGACAAGGCTGGACTGCATACACATAGCAAGTTCTGTACCCAGCTGTGGCACCATATAGAAGCACGTGAGTCCCGCTCAACACGTTAAACCTTTTTATGGGGTGAAAAAAAAATGCTTTAAGCTGTAGCTTACGAGGCTGCTTTGAAAGTATAAAATACGTAACAGAGTTCAGGGCTGAAAACTCAAGAGTGAAAGAAAGAGATTCTCTAACACAGATGTTTTTCTTTTACTCAACGTTTCAGCACAAAACAAAGTTTCCTTCTGAACTTTGCTGATAATAACCGGTCCGGCCAGTCTAACCTCTATGATCGTAGCTTTGCCAACGTGCTCTGCAGTAGGAGAACCGTAGAGCACGCCATCGCTGTGAGGGGTCCTCTGGATGTAGCGCAGCCAGCCTGGCCGGTCGGGGTAGCCCCTCAGGTTGGTGTTGAAAGTGATTGGATCGTCYCTGGCATCGCCTGTAGAGACAGTAGCTCGTTAAGAATAACTGCAGTGATTTGTTGCAGGTCAGACTTCATTTAATGACACATATTTAGTTCTATTATTGAAACTGCAGACAGGATGCCTACGCCAGCAAAGTATGTTTTCCTAGTGGAATCGGACCGCAGACATCTAACTTGACAAATGAACGGGTGTTTGGGGGATAAAAAAAGATGATCAAATATAAAAATCTTATGATGGATTCACACGGCAAGATAATCAGGCTAATTTTTGGCCTGATTTTACACTTCCAACATTCTTAAGGATGCTCCACTGCCACAAAATGGCAATGGGACTCCATAACAGTGGTCTGTGTGATACCTGTGGCATTGAATTAGAGACCTCTTTGCACTACTTAGACCCCTGCCTGGCTCTGAGCAGTGCCCGGTTTGATTAAAGCTCAGTGTGTTTTTGTGGAGAGCACTACGAGGACCACGCTCACACGGGTTCTTCATCCGTCCCCACTCACCATAATATAAGGATGCTCCAATTATCATGATGGCTCTAAAGATAATTTTAGGAGATATTCCTGCAGCGTGTGGTGTGTTAAGAGTGATCTAGTCGGCTCAGAAGGGTATCAGGACTGCTCCAACCTCAAATCGGGGATATTCAACATAATCGCTATGTTGCACCAGAAGATGTCTTTTTGTTTTGTTTACTCTGTAAAAAAAAATTCCACAAACTATCATTCTTCCTCATCTATCACGTTTATTTACTCTGAACCCACGTTTGATCTCCCGTCTGATACTGATTGTTCGTGAGTGAAATCTATCCGTGCGTGTTGTTTTTCTTTGTCGTGTGCGTGTGGTTGTACCTGATTTGGGATAAGGTGGAAACTCTCCTTTGAAGTGCTCCCTCTCCAGAACGTGGACGAACAGCACTCCTGCTGATGGGTAGACGTTACGGTCTGCATGGGACCTCGACAAGATGGTGACAACTGAAACACAGATTTGAAAGATTTACGCAGCTGAGTTCCTCATAACTGAAGATTTCATAAATGTATCTACTGAAGAAAAGTATTTAAAAAGCAGCATTAAGAAGTCGAGCAAACTGGGCGGAGCTTTCTTTCCTCCTCTTAGCTCTGTTACATTTCTAACACAAACATTTAGTCTTTATTAGTGCAAGGAACGATCAAAAACGCTGTCCTTTCACACATGTTTACACTCATTTTATGTCTTTTAACCCTGCAGTGTTTTGAGCAACACATTTGTTTTTTTTTACCCCCAGCCTTTCCCCCTCTCTCTCACTGTCCCACAGTGGGTGGCGACTCCATTTTTAATCACCATGTGAGACTGAGTGTACAAGGAAGAAGCAAAGTAGGAGGAAGTGGCGGCGGAACAGGGGATATGTGCTATGAAGTGAAAGCCAAGGAGAAAAAGCAGGTTTGATCTGCTCTCGCCTGCAGACACAGAACTCCAGACACGTTAAGCAGTTGGGAGAAAGCTGGGAAAGCTATGCGCGTGTATTTGTTCATTCCTGCTGGCAAAATCCTGCAGATTCTTACTTTTTATTTTACAATAAGCCTTTCAGTAGCATCAAACCAGCTATTACTAAACAACACTTTCATTTTCCTACATAATGCACTCTTCTACTTCTGTATTGTTAGGTTTCTTTGTGAAAGGAGCTGATTCTGAAGGAGGAATTTACATTTTTAAAGGGATGAAAAGGGAAGTTATCTAACTTATGTCTTTTAACTGTCGACAAAAGAAAGTTAAAAACAGGTGACTTTAAAAATGTAGCTTGTAACTCTACTTTTTGTGCATTTTACCTTTATTTAACCAGGCAAATCCCGTRGAGGCCTGAAGGCAGCCTAAACATGCATGTTTTTGGACTGTGGGAGGAAACRATGCTAACACAAAGATAACATGCAAAAGGTCCAACCTGGTGTTGGAACCCAGGACCCTCTACAGTGCTAACTGTTAAGCTCAAAAAGAAAAAAATTGTGTAGGTCTTCTGGACGGGTTCTTCTCTAATGAAATGTTTCGTCTCTCCTCCAAGAGACTTCTTCAGTCAGAGAGTTTCAGGCAAAATTCAGGCTTTTAAGCCCTGCCTCCATGTGACTGATACTCACATCACAGTGCCAGGAGGACTGCGACCAGTTATACATCGAGGAAACAAAGCAGCCACTGTTCAAAAGAATGTCCCAACACAGACGAGCTACATCTAACGGCCAGAACTCTGCAGTTTTCACTCATTTACAGGCCAGCGGCCACTCTTTCAGAGATGAGGATGTTCTCATTCTTGATAGAGAGGAACGTTGGTTTGAGAGAGGAGTAAAAGAAGCCATTTTTGTGAAGAAAGACCGTCCATCATTAGACAGAGGTGGAGGCCTCCGTTTTCAGTTGTCCCCCTCCTACAGTTCTGCTATTGCCAGTATCACTCCACCCCCTGTTAGCAATAGGTGTTAATTAGGTGTCAACGATAGCCATGTGATGTGAGTATCAGTCACATGGCGGCAGTGCTTAAAAGCCTGAATTTTGCCTGAAACTCTCAGACTGAAGAAGTCTCTTGGAGGAGAGACGAAACGTTTCATTAGAGAAGAACCCGTCCAGAAGACCTATACAATTTTTTTCTTTTTGATTTTTTACTCATTCGTATGTTAAACTGGGCGGCAAGCAGCAACAGATAGACTCGGCTACATCCCCGCGGGCTTCGTCACAGTTACAATCAATAACATTTAGCAGCCGCTAAATYTGGTGTCGCTTCAACAACCTAAGGTTCTCTCCACCACGTCTCTTTTCAAGGAGTCACCTGAGCACGACTAATCCACAGTAGCTCCTCTGGCTCCAACTGCTGCACCCATGACATTAGGATCTAGATTAGTCTGAGACTAAAAATAAAACCTCATTTTGATGCAGTCGACCAGTTCCTGAGTCAAGACCTCAGTCTGAAGGTACACTCGGGTTCCTGTGATATGACCTTTCGAGCTTCAGCAACTCTTCAGCAACACAATGGACCACTTTCAGACACTCCAAGGGCAAATTCTGGCTACTACACTCAACTCAGTGGCTAGATTTAAACAGCTTCGCCAAGTAAAGAAACAAGACAAAGCAAACTAGTGATGGTTTTCAATAATGAATCAAAAAAAAAACTTCCAGGACAATTATTGTTTCATTAAACAACTAAATAAATAAAAGATGTAGCTTACAGTGTCTATTCACTCTGTGTTTCACCTATGTGACTGCTACTGACTAGAGAGCAGGTGTAAGTAAAGATCAGTGATTAAGTCACACAGAGGACCTGTTAAGAGCGTTAAATCTGCTTATTTGTGACAGGATGACTCCCCGCTAAGCTTCCTTGAGATGATAAACCTCGGAGTGCTCCGAGTGTACAATACATCACCAATTAAAAGTTAATGCTAAACTGTTCACTGCAGACAAACCCTCTGCCTTTCTTTTCTGGTTCAAATGACTGACAAGACAATCCTAAAACAAAAAGCAATATACACTTTCCAGACCACTAAGTTATCCTGACAATTAGTTCCAATTAAACTCGGCCAAAAACGTCTCTTTTAAAGGTGACCTATAAGTATTAATATAAGATCACTAACAGGTCATGGGAGTGGTGGAAATGGCTAACTAGGTGTTATGCATTTCTGAGCTGACCTTGAACCTGAGTGATGTCCCCTGAAAATACAGCTGGCAACGAGCTAGCCTAATAATGGCTTCAGCCAACAGGGATCTTTAACCAGCCGAGGAATCAACAAGGAAAGAGGTGTCCTTTAGTTCTGTCGTATCAGCTTCATACGCACGTCTTCCAGGTCAGGAGGAACCCATGTGCTTCTTTGACGCTCAGCTGGAAAAGCACAGACAACAAGGATTGCCGCTGTTTGTGACTCAGGCTGTGGTTTGGTGCCCGTGACCAGCTTGAACTCATTACTCAAAACTCAAACATGGAAGTGAAAGCAGCTGGTRTTGCAACATGCAGAAGGCTTTAAAGACAACGGTGGACAAAAGACGACCAGATCAGTCCATCCTCCAGAGCAACATACGGTAAAACTATTCATTTATCTAAAACATTTAGGAAAATGTTTTGGTTTATTCAAGTTTTTTTTTACAAGGGCTGCAGGAACAAACGAGTTACTGTTCTGTTACACACAGTTAGGATGAAATTGACATCTTGCAGGAACAGGWTTTAGGCGAGACTTCAATTTAATGAACTGCTGGTGCAGCAACAGAAAGTGGGTTCAGTCTGAGGGACAGCATTCAGCTAAAAACAATAAATCTAGTATTAATGGGGAACCAGCTGAGCGTGTCACTGGGTTATGACAGGAGGGAGGAGACACGTGAAGTGCATCGCTGCACAAAGCCCACTCACCATCTTTGTACAAGGCTTTTCTCTGTTGCAAGGCCAAGGATTGCTCCATTTGGACATTTCTCTCATGCATTTCGCTGCGTGTTGCACCATAGGCATGCACAATGTAAACTATTGGACCAATGAATAGAAGCAGTCGTGAAACAAAGAGCGTCTTTCAGAAGAATTTTAACAAATGCACACCTATCTATCCTATCCAGCTTATAAAGTGCAAAAAAGACAACAGATCTACCAGAAAATTTCCAAATTCATGATATTGGACTTATTGTTGCACAAGTTTTTATTTTAAAGACATTTAGGATGTTCTGCTGCTTAACAATACAAAGTATTGTTTTTGATATTATGTACAGTGATGTAAATTAGGAGGACAAAAGTTCATAGTGTGTTATAGCAGTTTATAGTAGGCAAACCTTATAATTTTATCTTCCATGCATACGTTTTGACTTTAAAAAAATCAGGAAATTTGTGTTTGGTAGATTTTTTTTTTGTTGTAACAATGCTTTGTGGTAATAAATCTTATACTGTTGCAAAGCCTGTTAATTTCCCTTTTAAACGGTGCCACATTTGTAAGGAACGTGCATTTGTAGGATGAGCAGTAGAGCTGAGTTTGTGGGTTGCGAACGTAAAAAATTGGCCACATCTTCACTGCCAAACAGCTTATTTTGATGACGCTATGACGCCCGGTAAAAGATTTACTACCAAGAAATGTTACAGCCAATAAATATTCTACCACACAACACATTTTTTTCTTACTTTTTGTGATTAGTGTAAATTATGCTTTTCTTAACAACCAGTGGATTTCTGTGTATTTATGGAACTATAATTATAAGTTTCTACTTTGTACATACAATTTGACTTTAATTTGACTTTAAAAGATCAATATGTATATTTTGTTTTACTTCTACCAAGTCTAATTGTGTAAAAATACTTTTATTAGGTGTGCAATAATGTAACAGCATTTAGCTCTTAGAAATAATATAAATTCCACAATTTTAMAATTAATCTATCATTCTGAATGTATTTTGTTTAACAAGTGTTAAACATTTCTCAAGCCAGCATGCTAAAAGCATGATTTGATTGCTTATATTTGATGCAAAATACTTTTTTTTCCCAGAATTAAAACAAATCATGTTTGATTAAAGCATGCTGGGAACATTTGTTTTACTTAACACAACATTCAAATAGTAAAAAGGTAATTTAGTTATAGCAAATGTTCTGACTTGACAGGTGACAGAGTAAAATTTAAACAATCAACATAAACAGACATACATGATTTACTGCACAGTTGTAGATAACTAATAAATATTAATTTATGCAAAACAATAAAAGGTAGCTGTGCACCAATGTGTTTATATTGGGACTATTAAGCAGCTGCGTACTAATACACCTGCTTAAAAACACAGAAAACAATCAGAATATTAGCTGAATGAACTTAATAAAAAATGTATAAACTAAAAGATGTAAGTATTATGTGTGGAGACACTTCCACGGTTCGTATAAGGACCAGTTGGTCGCCATTTTTCCACGTCTTCTCCTCAGCTGTTTGCTGGAAAAAATGAGCAAAGCGGCTAAAACAGTAGCAGCTAGCTAGCCGCTATAGTGGCTAACCGTATGGATGCTGCGCGAAAACGAGTCATTTCCGAGTGAAACTCGATACCTTACCCGTTCCGAGCCACACCGCGACAGATGCAGCGGACATGGCGTTAATTATCCACGTAAAGCTTTCATGAAAACTGTGTTGTTTTTTCCTCAGTCGTCACTGACAGCTATAATAATGAGCATCCTGCCGCATTCCTTCCTCCGCCTCCTTCCTTTCTTTGCTGCCTCCTGATTGGCTGAACATCTGGATGGAAAAAGATGGTTGTCAAAGGAGGGTGTTGTACGTGGGGGTGGGGGCTGAGGTGCCCCTGTAGGAAAAGTTGAATATCTTTCAGTTTTTTTTTCTTCTTTTCACTTGATAACTTTTAAGGCTTTAAGTTATCTGTGCCTTGGGGGGAAAAATCCACATCAGGGCTTGTGAAGGCACAGCTTGACCTCCTGTGCGCAGCTGTCAGAGGGCAGAGGCTTATTTAAAAAACCTGCACCCATCTGTCCAAACCTCCTGCAGAGGGGCTTCTTAGAGGACAGATGGTCATGTTTTAGGACTGCTGGCTTCCTGGTTGTATAAGGGGCTTTGGGACCCTTACATGCTCCCCTTTTTGTCAGATAAGACAAGTCTTTGATTTTGCCTCCTGATTGATACATTTGTGCTTGGTTGTGATTTTTCTTATTTTCCCTGCAAGTGATAAATATGATGCCAATTTCTGTGCATCGCTCTTTTCTCTCCTCTGTCCCTTTAAGATTATTTTTAGGTTGCATAGCAACATCTTACAACCTGTGTTTGGACTAGATATGAATGTTGCTGTCAAGATCCTTGCATCTGTGAGAGCAGTATCACATCCATCAACAAAAATAAGCACTGCCTTTTTAGCCTGGCTGGAGGGGGCTCAGATGTGTGCAGCGTAACCTTTATTGATGACTTTCAGTCTGTCTTGAAATGCCATTTAATCTGGTTCGTTCAAATTTGCAGATGAGGATTGGGCCATATCAAAAAWTTTTTTTCATGAGTTCTGATATGTGAAAAAAGACTAAAGACTTTTATTAAAGTCAGAAGTCAAAATGTCAGAATTCTAAGTTTAAAGTCAGAATTCTGACTTGAAATTCAAAAATTTGTCTTTTTTTCTCAGAATTCCAGGATTTTTTTAAGTGAGAATATTAGAATTCTTGAATTGTAAAAACAGTCATAATTATGAGTTTTTTAAAATTTTTATTTTTATCATTTTCCATCCATCCATCCCTTTTCTGTGCACGCTTCTTCCTTTTTTTTTCAGGGTTGCGTGGGTCACTGGTGCCCATAT